CGCAACGCGACATACTTTCGAATGATTATTTGGAGATCGTGAGATGCGGTCTGGAGTGACGTACGTTTTAGAAAAAACATTTCCTTATCGTGCCAACGTTTCGATCTTTATTGAGATCATCTTCAGGGCTCAAAGTGTTTGTTTTCCGTGTAGATGTCATTCTTGTGTGTCGTGTTGAGAAAGTTTGTATAGTATTTGGCCACGAGGTCTTATGTATATAACAGTAAGATAGTATCTCCCACGTTGTTTCGCCTTTTCTACCGCTTCATTTTAATATATATAAATTATGATTCTTCGATTAAAGAAACAAAACATTTTCTATGTAGACTGTGAGTTTACATCGTTGAGGTAGAGTCTATTATGTTTTTTTGGAGGGAGGACTTGAACATGATTGGCCAGCGGGGACTAGGGCAGGAAAGGGCAATTATGCTCGGTCGAAGCCCGCACTATGAAGGGCAAGTTCGTAAAAAATCGTCGCTGGCCCAAAGGCCGGGGCACCTGTCCAACTCCCACCCCCTTGCATACATAATGCATAAAGCGAATTATGCTCCGTCCGCGCTCGTTTCATGATAATACGAGCAATACAACCAGGCCATGTACGTTATTCCTAACTTCTTTTTTTTCAAGCCGCTCCGCTTGCCCTGTAAAAAAATACTGGGGAATTCTTGGCGTTTGTATTAAAAATAACCGTGGCTCTTTTCTAAAAATATGAATAAAGGAACATCATAAATATGATCATCTTAAATTTATTGAAAATTTACAATACAATGCGTTCCCTACGAATATTAAACCATTTTAGTTGGGAAATCTAGCTAAGATTATTTTTCATCTAATGTTATATATATATCCATATACGCTTTAGGCCCTTTACTACTAGAATATCGTTTATTATATTTTGATGTTTTATTAACTTCAAGAATTTTGTGACTATTTGAAAGGAAATTCACTAGTAGAAAGTTTTTAATCCATACTACATCACAATTGCTATGTATCCTAAAATAGTATTTATATAAATCACTCAGTTTGAATATATTCGTTATTCCATTTATGTTTAATGGCCTAATTGACCAAATTACTTATTTCAATTAATTATTCTTTTTTTGAAAGGTCTTGATTGGGATGAAACCGCTCGTTACACTAGCTTTTTCATCTCAACCAAGACCTAACATAAAAAGAATAATTAATTGAAAGATATTCGTTATGTTGAGCTATTTTTATTCGCTTTCGATTAATTTCTCTGCTAACGACAACCCCTCTGACGGCCCCGAGGGCTACGAGTATGTTGGCCAAATTATGATTTGTATCAAGAATGTATTTTATTTGTATGTTTTTTCTCTTCTAATAAAGACAATTATTATTATATATGCTACTGTATACCACATATAACGATACATGTTTTTTCTTTTTCTTTTCTAACTAAATCTGTTCTTACTATATCAACCTATAATTTTTCAATGATACTATTAAATTCACTAATTTCGTGGTCCGCTTCACCAATTAACATATTACAATTAATCAAGGTTGATATAGTTGAGATAAAAAAAGTCAATGGCACGAGTGGGATTCGAACCCACGATCTTCGGCTTGATACGCCGCTGCTCTACCAGTTGGGCTATCATGACCTCGATGAGACTTTTTTATCTCAACTAAAAACCTTGATTAATTGTGATATTTATACTATTTATATTTTCACATTCTTATTAAAGCTATCGGTACAACAAGATTTACACTTCCCTATTCACAAAATTTTTAACTACACTAGTTCATATCGCTTGGTTCTTTTCAACCGCCAACCGATGTTTCGGTTGAGTAGGAATTTGATCGCTTCCACATTCTCGTGCTGGAAGAGGAGTGTAAATGTTTGTATTTCTGCCGTAACCTCAAGGATCTTAAGATACCTAAAGTCCTTCCTTATTCCTTACGTTCCAAGGTGCATTGCCAATAATAGATAGATAGTATTTTGAAGTGTTTGTACAATTTTGATATTGCTGTGTTCGATATTACTGTGGTACAACCCCATAGTTTAATAACATATGTCCACATAAGCTTTAGGACTTGATTTTATTATAATATTTTATTTCATGTAGTAAGGATGGAGCTGCGTCCTATCAATCAGTATTGTTGTCTATACCGTAAACCTATTTCTGCCCTTTTTTTCTTCACATACTTTTTCCACTCAGCTTGGCATCTAAGATCATAACCAGATATTTAATTGTAAAACTGCATAGGTATTATAGCCCTATCAATGGTGAGGGACAGAACATGTTCCACATTTTTTTCTAAAGTTTATATGTACAGATTTATGCTTATTCAGCCTGATTCTTCTTAGTTTTTGTACATTTGTTTATCTTATTACAAGCCTTTTGAAGGGATTTAAACGAATGGTAGACGGTCGGTCCTAACGACATCATCGCCGGGTCATCTGTAAGCTTTGAAATTTTTACTCCATACGTTTTCGAAAAATCATTGGTGCATAAAAAGTAAAGTAGTGAGCGTAGTATCCTACTGTGTGGAACTCCTGCATTTATGGGTTTTAGTTCTGAATTCTTGTTTGACTCTAAAATGTTTGCCAGCTAGGTAAAAACTGATATCTACGTACTGCTTTGGTAGCATCTCTTTTAGTTTGCTGATGAGACTTTCTTGTTGAACATTGTTAAAAGCTTGTGGGACATCAAGAACAATAGCAGAACAAATTTGTTTTTCTTCTAGTGATTTTTTTTTATTACGCCTGTTACGTGGTGAATTTGGTTAGGGTGGTTAGGTAAATAGACCTATCGCTGAATGTCTTGTTCCAAATTGATGGTCAGGGAAGATTTTCTTGTTTTCTACAGTGGGTTTTATTCGTTTTAGTAATATCTTTTCCAAAACCTTAGTGACTATCGGTAATAGCGATATCGGTCCATATGATTTGACCTCGATCGGCGGTTTCCCTGGTTTTTGTATCATAATGACTTCTGCAAATTTCCAGATGGTGGAAACATATTTCAGTCCGATTACATCATTAACTAACGTTTAACTAACACCTTTTTCTGTAAATTTTCTTAACATATCTCCAGGGAGTGGTTGTTACTTCAAGTAAGCTGACACTGAAGGTTTCATTTGGTTTGAAACTTTCGGCAAGGTGTCTGGCAAAAATTCGACCTTTTCTCTCTCGCCCATGTAACGATTCGTTGTTAATGGAGAAATTATGGCAATTGGTCTTTTAATGTTTTTTTATTGATTCCAAGGGAGTAGTGCATATATATTATATGTTATATATTATATTAAGGATTTTTATAATAAGGTAATAAAAAACACAATTGCCGCGTTAAACTTTACTTACTGAAATACATGGCAATCGTGTTATTTCTATACCAGTTTTGACCTGTTAAATCAACCTGTTTTTAGTCATAATATATATTTCGAAAATACTATTTGAAATTCAACAAATTAATTAAAACCATGTGTCATATTTACCCTCTCAAAACCTATTACATTTCAATATAATTAACAGCTTTACAGCTTATCAATTTGGACTGGTGATTCTATTGGAGTCAGCGCCATTTCCTTTATTAATATTTAGCCGTTTCCCATTTCCATGAGTCATTTAGTGTTTTAAAACTAACCTTTATAAGAGGATTTGATAAAGCCTATGTTTATAAATTGTATTAACAACGTTGTTTGCAATAAAGTGCCCGCACCTCCCATTGTGTTGTGAATCTCCATTTCATGCTACACCATGCGTATAGAAAGCTTTTATGTAAACTTTCGACTTTACGTCTACTCAAATTGAAAAATTAACATCCCAAATTGTTAAAGTGTTTCATTATTTGAAAAACATCGAATACACTTGAAAATATTAGAGATATTTTGATTCACAAATCTAACGTCTTTCTGTATCCAATCCATCTGTCAATTAGAGTTGAAATAAGTCAGCACGTCATGCAACAAAAATAACAGTACAAAGAATTACGAGGTGCGGAGAAAAGAGTAGAAAGTATACAAAAAAATAGGGAAAGTCAATGGAATACAAGACCTATCGAAGATAGAGAAATGACTTTTAAAGAGCATATATATAAAAGCCTTAAAACACTAGAGTTTATTATGATATGTAATGTATATACTTGTAACTGTATGTACTAACTCAATATTGTAATTGCAAAGTATATATTATATATACAAACGATATAGAAAGGGCATTATAATTTGTTTCATTATGTACCTTTTAAAATTAGATTTGTTAGATAACCACATGACTAAACCCCAAAACATTTAACTAGATAACCACATGACTAAACCCCAAAACATTTAACTAAAGACTGCTTAAAAAGATGGATTTACTCTTATTAGAAAATGGGAGAATTTATCTAGATTTGCTATATACGTGTAGAATAAATAGAAAAGTAGGCAATTTACATCTGTTGGACAAAAATTAAAATGGGGCTGGAATTAATATGAGAAAATCTCACTTTCCATCATCTCTTCCTCCCTCACTCACTCTCTCNTCTCTCTCTCTCTCTTTCTCTTTAAACACATAAAAAATACAACTTTTCAGAAAAAGCAATTTTTTCTCTTTGCTGTCCAATTTACGCCATAAAAACTTAACACCCCTCATGCAGTAGGGAGTTGATGGACGATGTTTGAGTATGAGAATTAGGTTTTAACTATAAAAGACAGGAGAAAAGTTTTCAAACAGCGTAAGAGAAGACGAGTTGGAAGTTCATCACGACAATGCATTTACACCAGAACATTTGATTTGCTACTTTAAAAAAACTATTTGAAGTACTTTTAAAGCTTGGAATCTCGCGTGGCCAGTTTCATTCTAGACAGAAAGGTTTTAAGTTAAATTTTTAATGTATTTTTTGGTTAAAACTGTTATCACCCCTTGAGTAGTTCTAATGAAATAAATCTTTTGTCCGAATTCACCAATGAATTTCTTGCATTCCAATTTTATAGGTTGTTTGCTATGATTTTAAAATAAAATTATGAAATATTCAATTGTTTATTTGCATTTTTCTCAGGACGTCCAGACCAAGTACACAACTGTACGGTGGCAAACACGTCAATGAGCTCTTTCTCTCTAAGATGCTCGGAAGGCTTCAATGGCGGTCTGCCGCAAAGTTTCGCCTTAGAGGTGCGCGAAGGCGGGACCGACGTGTTGGCCGCAAACCTTTCCTCACCCCTGCCGAGATTCACGGTCCACGGCCTCCAGGCTGGAGTCATGTACGAGGCGTACGTGTTCTCGGTGAACGTCAAAGGGAGAAGCGAACCTGTTATGATTCACGCCCCGACGCTAAGACTGCCGGAAAAACAACTGACGTCCGATAGAGGTAACCTTAATAATGTTTATTTTGATCGTTATATAAAAATATATTAATTAGAAATCATGTATATGAAAGAACGAGATTATCAAACGCTCAACAGACCATTACCTTAACTTTTCAAATTGTTTTATGTGCTCTTGGATAGAGGGACGGTTGAAGTGGTTTATGACTGGTTGGTATGTTGCGTGCATCGTTACCTTCAATGACCTAGACCTCAGGTCTAATCACGTATTAGATTGGCGATTGCATACAATAAATATACACTGACAGGCAAAAAATTCCACCCAATTGATTTTTTTTTTTCATTTTCTCGATAAAAGCACTCCTGACGAAAGACTGCGAGACGTTTTCGAGAAACTGGGTCCTGCCAATTGAAGGCTCGGTTCTGTCCGCCCTGGGGTAACAGAATCACAGGATGACCGTTTTTTTGACTTGTTGAAAATTTTTTAAAACCGGCACCTTACTGGTCAAGCGATTCATCAGCTCCAGGAAGTTCGAGGTGTCTTAATTTCCGAACGCACTGCTCGAAGAAGATATAATCAGTATGGACAGATAGCTTTTCGTCCCGTAAGAGGACCAGAATTGACCAGAACACTGCTCTACGATCTCCTGTTGGGCGTGAAAAATTGTAGAGAAGGCGAAATGAAAGATACGAAACCTGTAATTTTTCCCTGAGCCAACCTTTTCAACGTAGCTCAATGATTGTATGGGTAGGAATTTCAATGGAGAGTCGCACAGAGTAGATTGTTGTGCAAGGAGGGTCTTTGACGTCCACTCGCTATGTGGATGGAATTTTGAACCATAGAGTTGCATATCCTCGATGAAATCAGCGACAATCCGATTCTAATGCTCCACAATGCCCTCCACATGTAGCTCGCCTAGTACAAACGTACCTTCACCAGCATAACATTAGGGTCTTAGCCTGGCCAGCCCGTTCTCCAGACATGAACCACATCGAACATTTATGGGACAACCTCAAAAGACGAATAAGTGCACGTCCATCACGTCCTGATACACTACACGATCTTGAAAGGACTCTTTTTGAAGAATGGGCTAACCTCCAGCAAAGAGACATTTCCAGGCTGGTAGCAAGTATGCCCAGGAGTTTTCAAAATGTAATAAAGTCAAGAGGAGGAAATACGCGATATTGAATTGTTCATTAAAAATCTAGTAAAGAAATTTTATCTTTCCCGTCTTTTTTTATTTTTCATTTTCCTTAGCAATATACTTTTTTCTTTTTTAGACAAAGTCTCAATTATTAAACGTTAAAAAATGTGAAACTTTAATTAATATATAAAAATATATGTAAATCAAGATATATGGCTGGAATCTTTTGCCTGTCAGTGTATAATATAAATTCATGCAAACATTTGCGGATTAGGATATAAAAAATTATTATTATACTCCTCGTATCCTTAGTTCATCTAAAGCTATTGGAAGTGATGAAAGTGTTATGAGTCATATGATGCCATGTTTTTACTTTTTAGGTTATATTTCATCATGGTTTTTTCGGAAATGCCTATGAACAAAAGTTCAACACATAAAATGTTAAATGGTAATTTTCATATTGTTTGATTTGCCACGTCTGATTTTGAATATATTGTATAATAATTTGTATAAATAATCTTTATGTATATAAAGTATGTACATAAATAATTTATAATTTTAATAAAAGTTACAAACAATAGATAGATTTATAGATGGATTAGTTGGCTGTTGATTGATTAATTATATATATATATACATAAAACCATCAAAAGAAGTAACAAATAATACCAAAACAACTGCATAGCAAGTTTAGTTTTATCGACCCCATATTCAAGGGTATTTTAACGTATACTAAATATTCCCTAATTTTGTTAGATTATGAGTAAACTCTGACCCTAAGTTCTGGGATGGTAAGCCGTCTGCTTGTTATTACATTCTGAGAGAATAAGATTGGATCCTAATAAGCTCCAAACTTTAGTCTTCTTTGCTCCAGTTTGTTTAGTTTGGTGGGGGTTCGGAGACTGTTTTAAGAAAACAAGCAATTTTGTCATTGCAATCTGATTGTTGTTATTATTGTTTTGTGTTATGTTAAAGGTCTTTTGTTAACGCAAAAAAGTCTTTAAGAAACATTTAAAAAATCGAAGTTTACACTCTGGAAACAGGCAAGATTACTCTTTTTAGTTTGAAGAAGTTTCAAGGTGAACCGGCTATCAAAAGTTGTGACAAGTTCAATATAAGAACTCTCTTGTGGGGGGAAAAATCTATTCCACCGTCCGGTTCAGCCCAAGTTTTTGACAATTAAGTGGCGGTTGTTGATTCGCCATTGTGCCCGGGTCGGATTGGGGTCGGTCAATAAAGTGCCAGGGCATTGTGCGTAAGACCGTCGTGCCTGGTTCATACAAACCCTATAAATTGGGATTGATATTGACAAAACATGGCCTAATCCGATGCCTCTCTAACCCGGAGTCTACGCTCTTCCAGGATTTTCTTCGGACCTCTTTCCTCCTCCTGTCGCCGTCCTTATTCAATATAAGAAAAGCCAATTTCGTTATAATTCACCCCGTTTTCCGACCGTGGAAAAATATCTTCAACACCCTGATGTTTCTACTAGCCAGCCTGGAAAACTCATATTAAGCCCTTTCCTTTCTCTTCCCGTTACACCTCAGTAGTGTAAAGGAAGAAAAATGGTCTGGAAATTCACGGTGATTAAAATCTTCGATTATTCTACTGGCAGACTTTCTATTTCCGGCGGAACGAGCAGAGATAATAGGCGCTACCGGAGATGACAGTAATGGTCGTACAATGAACAATAATTGTCGTTTTCCTACATGTTGACTTGTTCACTCTGACAACGACCATTCGAAAAAGTAACAAATATTGTTGCCACTTATTTTTATAATATCGGCCTAAATAATTAACAACACTAAATAACTAACAACAATAGTTTTCTACTACTTGGTAAAAAAAAGACAGAAGGAAAAATAACAACTTAATGACAAAAAATGAAATTATTTCCCTACTCTCTGGACCTTTGATGCATTTATCAAAGGAACCTCCTATTGACATCAACTTGTCGGTATATTATTCAGTCAGTTCAATTTCAACTGAGATGCTGCTGCTGATAATGATGATAATGGAGTGTTAGGAAGAGGGGGTTTGTACTTCCCAAGCACTGCAACCTTCTGACTTATTGTACATTTCCTACTTACTTAGATCAATTCAATTGACTGATCCTTTTCTTGAAAAGTCATTGAATGTCATTGCTGTAATTCTTTTTATCGAATATTTTTGATAGCCTAAGTTATACCTTCATTGTGCTATTTCTTCGCAAATGATTATAATATATGTAAGTGGTAGTTTCTTCCTCCTAATTGCATAACCTTCTAATGAATCATAATTGAACATACCCATGTTGTATAGGTGTTTTCTCAGATGTTAGTGACCGGTATATAGCCTTACCACTACCGTAAGTTGCGCCATAAGCCCTGTCTAACTGTAGTTATGCGTTTTCCAGTTTAGGTGTGGATTCTTTAATCTATCCTATTTTCGAAAGATAGGAGGTCAAAAGTTCACTATACTCTTTGGAGAATATTGTTTAAGCATATGTATTTAACCTTGTCAAAGGCTTGCGATACTCTATGAATAAATCCGAACATATATTTTATATCTCTACGGGCTTAGAGCTTGCTCTATAATAGATCACTCATAATATGTGATCTATTATTGATTGCTTGCTATGAATCCAAACTGGTAGGTTGGTATAACGTTTGGTTTTTCAAGGGGGTTTCAGTCATTTTAGCAAACCTTTTTCGAATAATTTTAGATATTTGGAAGCAATGAGATGGGGCGGTAGCATGGGTTGACCTGGTTTTAGTAACATGTCGATCTCAGCAACTTTCCAGACATTAGGGACATACTGCTATCTTATTACTGCATTAAATACATTCGTCAATTTCAAAATTCGTTTTTTGGGATTTTTTTTAAATTTCTCTTGTTATCCAGTCGAGAACTGGAGCTTTCTTGGAATTTAGGTTTGTTTTCATTTATTTGACTATTTCCTTCGGTGTAAAATTTTTATAACATATTCTGTTTTTTTCGTATGGATTATCTACGAATCGATTTGAGCATATGTCATTTGGTTTAAACGTCTGCCAAATGAATTGTCCTTTTATCTAAGTTGTTAATGCTAACTAACTATTGAGCTTGCTAATTTTTTTCAGGTTTGGAAATAAAAAAGGGTCAAATCTACAATAGAGCTTTTATGTCGCATTGGAATAAAGGGAGACTTTGGTCACGTGACCCCGAAGAAATAAAAAATACATCCGCACAAAGAGAACACAAGCGAGATATGAGACAGGAGGGAAAAACTTAAACCATGTTATTTGATGAATATTCACTTCTCTTGACAGATTTATTGAATACATCAGGTTTTCGCTGATATTAAATAGTTAAAATGTCAACACTTAAATGAATTCCTCTCGTAAGTACGCCATGTTTAATTTAATTGCCATTGGGTACTGAAGCCAGCATTGAACTATCAAGCTAGAACAAATCATATCGCTATTAAATATTATTTTGTAAGGCAAGCCGCAATGAAAGATGGGTTTCAATTATATATCGAGAAAGTCAATGAAATATCAGCAAACAAGCCTCTTCCGGAGATTAAACTCAACTTCTGCTTTGAATGAATTGGAATAGTAGCATCATCCTCATCGTCGACTGATCGCCGACCCTGTACTTTAAAACTTTAAATTATAATTATATAAACGGCCCCCTAAAGATCTAATAAATGAAGTTTTTCAAAGTGGGGGATGAAGAAAGATCAAAGGAAGGGGGAAAAGCCGTACAATCTCGTCCCATTCGCCCTTTTAAGTTAATCGTGTACGTTTCAGAAAATATTTCATCACGATGGAAATTAATCCGGCCGAAAAATTTAACACGTACTCACGTGGCAAAACAAGAAAGCCTGGAAAACAGTTTTAAGCCAATGGAGCCCCTATCCTTTTCGCCTTTTGTTTAATTTTGAATCATGCTAAACTCGGACTTGGTTGTTCGCGTTGTGTTTTGTGTTTCTAATGCAAAGGCATTTTAAACATCATCCGGAATTCTGTTTCAATTTTTTTGACAATTGACACGTGTGTACAATGTTGAAAAGAGAAATCATAAAATTCTATGCTACCACATACAGCTATCTCCAATGTGGCTTATAAAGGCAAAATTGCAACACTAATCGATTTTTATAATTTTTGTCTATAATTAAAATATTGCCAATTAAATTGCAACCTTAATTACAGCAATACTTTAAAGCACTATACAATAAAAAGTAATAAAGCATACAAGTTAACAAGAGTTCTCTGAGATACATATTTCTGATTCCCAAAAGCCAAGCACATTTTGAAAAGTCACTTATATTAATTAGCTGTACAGGAAGTTATTTGACTTTGTGTAAAGTCTTTTAGAAAGTGTACACCTGAAACTTTGGAAGAGCTTAATTGCTGTACTGCCACAGGATTTTGACGAAACCCTATAAGGTCTTAAGGGACGTCTCCTACTCTGTTATTAGATTGCGGCAGGATAGTTTAATGAATCTAATTAAACAGGAACCTTTGACTTTACTTCTAGTACTACCGCATGTCTTTGACTAGATTACCACGTTTCAGCCATCTATATCCCTTGTCATAAAAAAATTCACCCCTGCGAGGTGATTGATGATTTACCTTGTTGAAAAAATTTGAATTCCTCAACTATTACCGATCATCTCAGAATTTAATTGAAACTAAAATAATTAGTAGTAATTTTTTTTGTTAATCGACCCCTTTGCTACTCATCCAATTATGTTCAATAAACTGACAAAGAGAAATACAACAGCACCAGACAAAACGGGTGAGATGTTTCCCGTCAATCTTAATCGGCCGTGAAATATATCCTGGGAGTATTTGCCGAGGCCAATATGTCTTCCGGCTCGGTTCCCATGGGCGTTATCTCCCTGATCATTACTGATATGGCGCCTACTCGGAAAAGGCCGATTTACGTCTTCATCCGGTGAGCTGTAATCCCTAATGACTTAAACAGCCCTAAAACGCTGAGCTGAATCATCAAGTCTTTTTTTATTGGGGGGGAAAGGTTTTATATTAAAAAAAAATACATAAATGACTACTTAAATAAGAAACTATTGTACTTACGACTTTCTTATCTGTTATCTCAGAGATTTTTCAACGTTTCGTGCAGTCAAAGTAATCTATCCCTAGCTAATTTTTAAAAGGAGTTTTATTATTCACCTGGCTACCACTTATCGCTGTTTTGTTAAATTTCCAATTCAAATTTATACCATTTACGATTTCACAGTAGAATAAATCAGAGAGCTCTGGCAAAAAGTTTTAGTATATTTAGTATCGTATGAATATTGTAAATATACAGGATAAATTAAAGCAAAACCCTATGTGCGAATGACGCAACCATGTTAAAACTGTGCATCATATGACCTTAACACTCTTTGACGCTTCCAGTAACGTTTGATGGACGAGTAAAACAAAAATCCTACTCACGATTGTACTAATGACCTATGGATGTATAAATTTCTATAAAAATGTATTTAAAATATAAACCAAGTAAATAGTAACCATGGTCTCAACAGTATATTGTTATTAGATATATTAAATGAACTACTAAACAACAAAGCCTATTCATCATGTCATCAACATGTAAAATAGGATCTAGGCGTTACCATAAAAAAATATTGATCATAAAAACGAAATAGAAACCATGATATCCAATGGCCTCAATACCTTTGCATGACTGAAAATAAAATTAGATCACTTATATAAAACGCTTACTGCATTTAACTCTAAAAACCTATCGATGTACGCATTACCATAGAAATCATCCTGGTAAACCAAACCAAATAGATATAAACCATGGCGTCCTATGACCTAAACACAATTGCATTAATTACAGTAACTATAGATGAACCTTTTGATGAATGAAAAACACATTTTTTCATGTCACTTGAATAACACACGTTCATCGGTACATCCAACTAAAACCAAATTGGTAGAAATCATGGCATCCTATGAACGCAACACTCTTACATAACTTAAAATAGTTTTAGATAAGACACGTTCGCAAAACTCTTACATAACATATGCATATAGGCGTTACCATAAAAAGCCAACCAAATAGGTATAAACGATGACATCATATGACCTCACAACACTAATGCATCAATTAGGGATGTTTAGGCCACTCAAATTGCCTTAGAGAACGACTAACCAAAAAACATATTCATTATGTCACTAATAACCTACGGATCTAGGCGTTACCATATAAAAATATTTTTAATAAAGACCAAACATATAAAAAACAAAATGTCCAATGACCTTACTACTCTTCCATCATTTGCAGTATCTTAAGGTAGATCACACAGACAAAATTATTATTCCTCATGGCATTAACTTATGTTCATAGTCATTTCGGTAAAAATACATTAAAAATTAAGCCGGTATAAACGGTCAATTACCTCAAAATTCGATCTCTTACAAAACCTTTGGAAGACCGAGTAAAACAAAAATCCTACTCGTGGTTGTACTAACTGAACTAGTTAACCAAAACATTTACCACTAATAACCTATAGATCTCGGAGTTACCATAAAAAATATTTATAAAAAAACCAAATAAATAGAAAGCATGGCATCAAATGACTGAACTACTCTTCCATCACTTGCAGTAGGTTCAGATGAACCACTGAATCAGTAGTCTATTGCGTTAAAAATGAGGCAATTTTTGAGAAACTAATGTAATAAAACAATTGACAAAATACAAAATTGGCATGTTTTTTTATCTAGAGCGACCGCGGGCAGGATTCCGTCTTACTCCAGTAATGACGGTCGTCGTCGGCGTCGTGAGCTCCCTTTTCGTCGTCGCCTGCCTCGTCGCCGCGGTCCTGAGGGTCCAATGTTCCCGGGACGACGATCCGAGGAGGTCTAAACAGGACGTCGCACCGGCCAAAGCCCCTGGATCAAGTCCTAAAGGCGACCTACCGCCAGAAGCGGACGAGAGAAATCCGGACATCATCCCTCAACCTAATTCAGGTAGGACTTGTTTTTAATTGTAACTAATTATTGTATTAATGGTGCGAGTATTGAAACGTATTTTAATAAAGTCAATCAATAAAGGTAAATTAGGTCATAAAGTAGGTCATAACTTCCTAATACATGTTGGTTTTCGTGGACGAGCGTTCAAATAAAATTATTCCGGGAGTCGAACCCAGTACCGAGAGGGGCTAGAGGGGCGAATACAAGTCGATCCTCCTAACAATTGAGCCACAGAGAGTCTCTTCAATTAATAACTTAAATAAATAAAATTTTTCGAGATTTTTCTACGAACTGCAAGAATATTACAAATTAAAAACAGGGTTTTTTTTTAAATAACCCTACCCCTTTTACGTCACGAAGGGACGACATCAAAGGGGAAAACATTTGTCAAATTATCGGGTTATTTATAAGAACTTTTGTCTGTTTTATTGGGTTGGTGAGGCAAAGCTCCGTCTTTTTAAAAAAATTAAAAACCGTAATATACTGGGTGCGGCGATATAAAAGATATGAACCTTTCTATTTTTTTCTGATCGCATTTCAGTATTTCATTTGATCCCACTTCACAAATGCGAAAGGGGTTGTTTTTCGGTTTATTTCGTATGTTTTCATTGCTAAATACGGCAAACAAAAAAATTACTCATTCCGACCTCGTGTTGTCTCTACTCGCTTGTCTTTACATGCTTAATATACAATGTATGGTGTAAATTAAACTGTATGAAAGTATAGAAATACACTTTTTTCTCAATTTATTCGCTCACTTCATATAAATTCTGTATGAAAAGATCATTTCTAACTCATTTGGATCGAGTTTACATTTATTACCTATTTCAATTAATTAATCTTTTTATGTAAGGTTTTGGTTTCCCTCCTTTTTGCCATTTTTCGAAAATTTGAAAGGATATAGGTTGAAATGGGGAGTTGGTGTCCGAGTGGATCAAAGTCACGATAGCTCAAGTGGTTAGAGCTGTGGCGTATTGAACCGAAGTTCGTGGGTTCGAAACCCGCTCGTGGCACTAACTTTTTCATTTCAACCAAAACCTTGGTCAATCAGACCCCTAAATATAATGGGTTTATTATCTATGTTGTAACTTTTATACATATGTGTGTATGTGTGTAATTTATCTAAATGTCAAAAAACTGTAATTAAACGTGAAGCATAACAAGCCAACTCACCTACGTAGTTCTTACGTCAATATTTTTTTAAACAATCCCCTTCTTATTGAAAGAGAAGGGTAAAAGTGAGATCGGTTTCACCCGCGGATGTCTTTTTATCCTCAGACAACCAGGCCTGAGATCATCTCGTTGAAGATGGGTTAGGCTTTTGAGCTGAGTGCAACATGAAAAAAACCTATTCCATTAGTGGTGCGCCTTTCAGAGCCGAGGGCTACAAAATTCTTATCTAGATTAGGGTTCAAATTCATGATCGGCTTCCGCCGCCAATCCAGAACGCCCCAGGATAACTTTACGGCCTGGGGCGTAAAATTGTTTAAGTCAAACGGTCAGGCTCCCAAGCTTTGAATTGTCCCGGGTTATGAGGCCAATAAGATTTTACGCTCCTGTTCGTATCATTGAATTCTGAACGGGGTCTTCACCAGTCCGTATACATGTCAATTCTCAAAAAAAAAGTATATAATCAAACTTTTTCCTTCTCTAATAAAACTTTAATGAATCATAAACAACAGCACTGCTAGCTTGAAATTGTGTACGAAACCTCGGCTAACAAAATCTCCATACAGAAATTGAAATCAAAAATTATATCTACCATTCCATTCAAGTGAATGATCCCTGGAGATATGAATGTAAAAAATTTGTGCCAATAAAAATACATTGTGGTAAAAATTGCCTTTGTTATTTTAATTTTCTGTTCAATTATTAATAAGTAAGATGTTTATTTTTTGTGTCTAAACTGCACTGACCATCAAATAAAAAAAAAATTGCACGAAAAAATGGCCAACTTTGCAAATGCATATTTTTTCAGCTTTTGAAGTCCTAGGTATTATTTTTAGAACCGTTTACGCTGAACAAGATGGCGTTTTAAATGTATTCCAAGCTTTAGACATTCGTGTAAATTCAAAAATTAGGGAACAAGTTAATTTTTGCACTTTTTACTAAAATTTCAATTTGAGCTGTACACTCAGGAAATCGTCTTGGGAGCGGCGCCCTATAGGAAACTTTAATAAGCTTTCAATTGGTCACCTTCCACTTTTCCCGATTTCTCAACCAAGACTGATTTTGTACGTGCTCATGGAAAAAGTCGATCTCACTCTCTCCCGATTTTATCATACATAAGCCTATTCTTTCAATACGTTATTCGTAGCCAAACTGCCACAACACCTGTGAATTTCTGTGAAGAGGTAAACAATGTTATCGACAGCAGAAGCATTCCCCATCCCAAAAGGTCACAGTAGGAAATTAAGAAAAGTAAGAATTGTCGCTTCCCTGTTCATTTTTTTGAAAAGGTCCTCAGAACAAAAGTTGTAGAGCGTAAAGCTAAGACATTTGAAGACTGTTCAAAATTTATGCATACTTGAAAATTGGGGAGAGAGTGTCTGCCGCTCGAAGGACAATTTTCTGGCTCGAAAGCTCAATTTGAAGATTTCGTAAAAAGGGAAAAAAATGACAGGTTCCAAAATTTTTGAGTTTACTGATGAATGACTGAAGGTAGGAAAACGTTTAAAAAGCCATCTGATTCAGCGTAAAATTTTCTAAAAAATGACACCTAGCGCAGGTCTGAGACTTAAGGCAATATGCATTTCCAAAGTTGGCCATTTTTTTTGTGCAAAAACAAAAAATAGTAAATATACACACAGTGTCAATGAACAAAAAAAATTAAAAAATGTCGGAAAAATACTTCAAATTCGTACCATGTGTGCCTCAACAAAAGTATTGTTTTACCGTTTATGGCCATCGGACAATTCTACTTTGATTTGTAGCCACACATGTGGGTGAAAATAAGGTTTAATTCATTATTGTTAATAATACTTTAAAGTAGTCGTAGTTAAAATCCGTTCCCCTGATTAGGAGACTTATCCAGCTGTGTTTTGAGTAATACAAAATACATGTCTTTTATTTATATTTATACTTATAAAAAATATAAATAGTAAACATACTTTTCGTTGAATTGCCCAAAACAGCTGCATACCTCACAAATAAGGTAAAACATATAAAATATAAGCGCCAGCAAAAAATATATAAACCATCATACACTGGGAAGCAAAAAAACAGTGGCCATACTTAATCTTTTAATTATCTCTTAGACAATCCTCCATTTATTATCTTACAACAATATTTGGACCGTTTTAAAGGACCTTTATCCTTTAATATAATATTGTATATAAAACACAGATAAAATCTCTCACTTCTGTTTAAAATTGGATTTTGTAAATAAATCTTTGAATGGTCAATCTCTTATTTGTGGGTTTTTCGAGATAATCTGTGTAACAGTGGCTCTCAAATATTTGTGTGTTCACAACCCTGTTCGAGAACTACCACTCTTTCCGAAGATGATCACGGTAACTTGTTTATAGGTTAAGAGTTATATACCACCTGTCGCAATATTTTTCTACTATATTACGTTAAATGAAAAGCAGTTGGGTTGCCGGTAATAAACACCTCATCTGCATATAACTGTGAGTTAATTTTTGTGTTTACGGCCCTAACTTCACCTTCAAGGATCGATGGCGAATCATTTAACAACAAACAAAAAAGTATGGGGCTTAAAAGGGAACCTTGCCTTATCCCAGTGCCCTCTGGAATAAGTCAAAAAATTCCATCTTTACCTATTAAGGCCGAACAAGCTGCGCAATACATTTTTTTCAAAACATTGACAAATTTAGAAGAAACGCTTATTAAAATACTTTAATTATCGGTTATGCTCAATAGTTTTGAAAGCAGCCTGGCAGACTATAAAAAAGCAATAGAGTCTTTGCCATTGTTAAAACCCATCTCGCCATCGAACTGTTTTATGTTCGTTATGTGATGTATTGCAAAATAATCTTTGTAGTTCCAGAATTATAAGGTACTTAGTCGTGAGATATCCTCCTATGGTTTGCGAGGTGATGAATCTGTTTTTAGATTGCAGGGTCGGTCGGTTTCGGCTTCCCGTCATTTTCAACGGTGGTTTTCGTAACGTCTGACAGAACAAAATGATCGGAAAGGACAAAATTATAGGTACTTTGCAACGTTTTTATCAATAACATAATAAATAGTTCAAACACCTTGCCGATTTTAAGAGGAAACTTCACTAATTAAATTTTTTATCCGGTTGATTTTCAAAATAATATTTTAAATTTGTTGTTTTTTTCTTCAAATTAATCTTCTTTCAACAAACGAACATTATTTAGAACTAACTAAGACACATAACATTAAATGTCTTTAACAACAGGATTCGTCAAAGAATATTATTATAAATTACACTCCCCATAATTAAAAAAATAATTTGAGAGTTCTCGTTTCGGTTTTTCTTTTTTAATTTTTCAGAAACCCTCGGAATAAAATTAAGATAAGGAATGAAACTCATAAACGACGCTTTTAATTAAATTAACTGTGCTTATCTTTTAGCCTAATTAATCAAACCCATTTATCCTTCCCTACCAAGACGTTATGGTTAATGGTTGAGTAACGGTACGAATGAAGGGTTTTTACTTACAAACCGGCCGATGGTTAATTTTCATAAAGGGTGTCCTTTCCCCCTTTCTCCCCGTAGACACGGCGAGGTCTTTTAACTGTTTAATTTGTTCGGTTCTGTATTTGCCGAAACAGGGAGACTGTGTTATTGAGTGGAGAGGAAATGACGTTTAGAGAAGACTCATATGTCTGTTTGCTCTGGGGACCCAATATCGGGCGGTGTGTCTATTTGGGGAGGTGGCGGCTAATGAGACTCGGGATCTAAAGAGTTACTGCCATTAGGAAGAAGTATTAGATTGGACAAATATTGCCCACCTTTACTAGAAAGCACGAATGCTATTTTAGTACCGTTCGTGTTAAAACCCGGGCCGGTATTCCTGTTAAAAGGGAAATGTTTAAAACTCAGGAAACCCAGTCGAATCGTGATCCAACTTTGTTGGAAAGAACAGTTAATGAGAGCCTGTATAGAGAATACGAAGGACAGGGTGACAACAGTAATAAATAATGATTATTTGGAGATCGTGAGGTGCGGTCTGGTGTGACGTAGGTTTTATAAAAACATTTTCTTTATCATGCCAACGTTTCGATCTTTATTGAGATCATATTCAGGGCCTGGGATTTATAAACATTGTTTAAATGTTGCAAATAAATATAGGATGTGAAAAAGAAAAAGGAAAAATAATGAACTTTATACAATGCTAGAAATTTTAGATCCAATGAAAGTATTTGTACTCTCTCAAAGAGTTTGTTTTCCGTGTAGATGTGTCATTCTTCTGTATCGTGTTGAGAGTACCAGTGAGATATTGATGTTTTATGTTTATATACGTTGGATTTTGAACGGGTGGGGAAGGAAATCGGGATAGACACACATTTTCATATGAGGAGTCGGCTTCTTTGAGGTGAAAGGAGGATGGGTATGGGAAAAAATGGGTAACGGTTCGGCCTGATTATCCTTTCAGGATTATATAGACGGGGATAATTAGGGAAATGAAAGCCAAATTGTCGAAGAATTAATTAAACTATGTAGAAATGTTTGATGTGTGGAATGTGATGATTGTTTTATATGTGATATATTATGTTTTGTGTGATGTAATGATGATGATATATGTATGTTATCGATATTGAATTTGATTAATGATATAAGCATATAAATCCCAGGCCCTGAAGATGATCTCAACAAACATCGAAACGTACGCATGATAAAGAAAATGTTTTTCTAAAACCTACGTCATACCAGACCGCACCTCATGATCTCCAAATAATCATTAGCTAAACACCACACATAATAAATAAAAACAATAAACATTTTGTAATTAGAAGAATTCTTGGATTTAAAAACATCAAGACAAGAATTTTAACTTTGATAACTAAAGAAATTCCTGTTATATACGGTTTAAACATCAAGCTATCAAACTGATGTATATTTATGATTGTAGATGAAAGGCCAGACTCCTTTAGAATACTCTTTTCCAATCATTTTATAAAAAATTCCAAGTGCAATGGCGATATTCGAACACAGAACAGGTAGAGTGGCTGGCTACTGGCTTCTAAACTAAGTCCGTCCTAGTATTTGTCAATAATTCTATTTTATCCCTAAGAGTTTTGAAAAAATGTTTATTTAGTTAGTCTTGTTTTTACACTCTGAAAAAGGATTAAATACGTGAATTTAAATTTATGTAAATTATCCACAAAATTTGGAGTTTGGCCGTTTTCGATCATTTCTGGTCTCAAAGATAAGTTTTAGTGGTCCGCTTGACAAATTAATATATTTCAATTAATTAAGGTTTTTAGTTGAGATTAAAAAATCACTGTCACGAGCGGGATTCGACCCCACGATCTTCGGCTAGATACACCGCTGCTTTACCACTTGAGCTATCGGACCTCGATCCACTGATTTTTTTATCTCAACTAAAAACCTTAATTAATTGAAATATATTAATTTGTCTAGCGGACCACAAAAAAAACTAGTGAATTTAATAAGTAAAAATGTAGTGTGCCTTCACTAAAGCTCTCCGTGGCCATTTCATTTGTCGCTGAGAATCAAAGGTTACACGACATTTCAAAAAATGGCAAAAAAGAGGGAAAATTCAAAAGGTGGGGTTGAGATGGGAAGTTAGTGTCCGAGTGGATCGAGGTCACGATAGCTCAAGTGGTAGAGCAGCGGCGTATCAAGCCGAAGATCGTGGGTTCCAATCCCGCTCGTGACACTGACTTTTATCTCAACTAAAAACCTTAATTAGTTGAAATTTCTCTTCATTGGTGAGTTAGTTTGACATACCAAAAGAACTAGAATACGTAGACCATAATTATTCCTAACTATTAAACTACAGGTTCATTGCCTTATTCATTCCTGATAGGAAATCTCACAATTTATACAATTTATTTGATTAGACTAATGTAACTAAATTTCAATAAACGAAATATTCGTATGTGTTGCTGTATATATAATATTTGATTCCACAATGAGCATTTCTGCTAGGTGTAGATGAGGAAGAGCACGAATTCATGAGAAAGAGGCAGTTGGTATCTACAATTGAGACGAGGACGTCACCGACGAGGTCCCTACTCCAGCCGGGACCCTATCCCGGCTATTGTACTCTCAGGAACGGCGGGATGCCTCTTCAAGACCTGAGCAACATCCCGACAAAACCGCAGGTAACGAAATAGGCAAAAATTTTAATATAGTACAAACACGAGCTGTCGCATATTTACAACGTGGCCGACATGAGACGTAATAACAACAGTCCCGTGTTTTGTCCCCGTTGCACAAACAATGAAATTATATGAACCGGCAAAAACAACAGGAGCCTGTTTTCCAAAGAGTCGGAATTCCGATGGATTTCCACAACGGAGGCGGTCTTGACGCCAAACGGCAAAAGCGAATATTTACGACAGAGGGACGTTAATATCGGGCCCGGCAGATACTAAAATGGTATTTGTTTTCAGGAAAAAGAAAGGGGAAAACGAAATTGTTACTGAAAAAACAACAACTAATAAAGTTTAATTAAGTCTCTTTTGTAAAAAAAAAAGTAATTACTTTTTAAGTTGAGGGCAAAAAACTTCAATATATTGTGGCCAGTAATTCAAAAATTCCTGTTTCATTAAAAAAAATAATAAATAATAAAAAATGAACATATTGAAACATATTCTAATAATAAATTAATTATTGTTTAAATTATTTGTTAATCTAAAAATATTTAAATGAATTTGTGATATGATTTGAATGAAGTAATTAACTAGACATTTGAATCGAAATAACGCGGCGACTGGATTAGACCAAACTGGCACTGCGTACCAGATACAAAGGTTTGATATTTTTAGTATACATAAGCATATACCCTTTACACTAAACACAACCAGACTTAAAGAGAGAGAGGAAATAGGATTTAGAAGAAAATAAGTGAGAGATAGGCAAAGATACAAAGAAGGGAATAAAAGTGAAGGTAACTGTATAAGTAAAAATAAAGAGACATATTTATCATAGCGATAGATAGATAGATAGATAGATAGATAGATAGATAGATAGAGAGAGAGAGAGAGAGAGAGAGAGAGAGAGAGAGGGATGGAGGGAGGGAGAGAGAGAGTAGTTACACATGTTTATCCTTTTATTCTCTCTTTCTCACTCTAACGCTCTCTCTTTCACACTCACTTACTCATTCTCTCTCTCACTCACTAACGCTCNCTCTAACATTCTCTGATTCTTCTTCCCTCCTTTCTCATACTTTTGTTTCTCTTCCATTTTCTTTGGGCTTTCTTGAACAGATAGAAAGCACATCTTCAAATTGTTCAACAAAGAATTAAATTCCTTTAAAGTTCTCTTATTCTTGTAACATCAGGCAAGGATGTGGAGGCTGTGACTGAGTTGCCTTTCAAAATATTGCGACGTACGTTTTTTTTCAATTTCTTTTCAATGATATTACTACAAAGGCAATTGTTTCATATATATAACGCAATTATTTTCATCGATATTTTCTTTGTTATAACCTCTGGCGGCTTTTACATTCAAGCCCTAATTTCTTGGAAAAGGGTCAGCGGTGGATTTATTTCAACGGGCCTTTTATTTCACAGGATGCGGGGGGTAGTAGGTGCGGCGCTGCGATGGGAAAGGGACATATATGAAGAAAAATTACAGGAAAAAGCCAAGACAGAGGAAAAGCGAATGATATCTCGGAGTGTCCATATGGCACCACCCTTTCTGCCAATATATCCTTTATTGATTCCCTTTTCTTTTTTTCCACTTGCCGCACTCTACTTTCAGCACTTCATGTGTCTGCGGCCCCCGCGCGGGTGGAGTTCACCGGCTGATAGACGATATTTTATCCAAATACAATTCTGATATAAAAAAATCATTGCAGTTATTTTCACATTTCCCACTTGTGATAGCATACTTTAACATCGATTTGAAGAAACGATTTTCTCTGAATTTTGTATGTATTTTATCTATACTTCAGCCTGTTATACAATTTACACCCGATAAAATACGCTGATCTACGGGCAAAATGAGTTGTAAAAAATTTGGAAAACAGAAAAACAAATTGTCACGTCTATAGTTAAAGGCTTTCGGACTAAATATCACCCCTGTGTCAATTTAGGTATATTCTTTTAACGAGAGTCTTTTTGCGTTATCGCAACATTCGAGAAACTCCCCACGATTTTTAATTTTTCAGAATGTACTGCTATTCAGGCTTTCATTTACAGATCCAGCTCAACTTTAAATTTACATGAAAATAAGTTGTGCGTCTAAAATTCGCGAGCGGTTTTATTACTTATTTGCGGTCCGCTTATTATTGTCGTGTTTGCTTTTGGTAAAGACTCGAATGTCTGCTTAAACGGCCGTTGTGCCATCTCTTTTGTGTTGTACTGTTTACAAAGGAACACTGTCTGTCAGTCCGCTACAAAGAACCTCGTCCCCTCGTCGGATGATAAAAAGTATCCTACATATTAGAAAACCTATGTATTTGTTGACAACAATTCTGAAAACCTGATTAAAACTCAAATTAACAGTGTTCCATTACCAAATAATATCAACTATTATTTAAAAGTTTAATAACTAATTTTAAGTCCATGTGTTGATGTCATTTGTGAGTTTTAAAATTTACCAAACTCACTAGTTTTCGTGGTCCACTTGACTAATTAATATCTTTCAATTCAATCAAAGTATTTTAGGCATTGAACGGTGTAATATACCCAATGTGAAGTTTGGGATGGTACGAGTCTTTCATTCTTAACAAGTAAACGTCACTAATTTTTTTTCCAATTAATTAAGGTTTTGGTTGAGATAAAAAGTCAGTGTCACAAGCGGGATTCGAGGTGGGGTTGAGATGGGAAGTTAGTGTCCGAGTGGATCGAAGTCACGATAGCTCAAGTGGTAGAGCAGCGGTGTATCTAGCCGAAGATCGTGGGTTCGAATCCCGCTCGTGACACTGACTTTTTTGATCTCAACTAAAAACCTTAATTAATTGAAATTTATCAAACTGTTTAGTCAATTTAAACTATCCAAAACAGTAACAAAAATGTTTAAACTATACAGTACCTACGTAAACAAAGTTTTAATATGAAACATTATATTTGCATAATTAATCTTCGAATAGATTAACTCTTTTAATACTAATTTCCATTAGGTAACAAGTAACGTTAAGAAAAAATATGTACAGCGTGTTCTATGAACAGCGTCAATACCTCAGGATGCTATCCTACATGTCAATTGGACAAAAACGTCCCTATTTTCTAAGTCTGATCCTCAATTCGAAATATTTCACTTTACATGTTACTTCAACCTTTCACAACTTTTTGCCATAAAGTTCGTATATGTTATAAAATATTAACCCTACTGTAAATCTGATTGCATCAATGAAAAGAGTATTAAAATTCCTACAACAATTTTTTTATTGTAACCTTAAAGAAACAAAATACAAAATCAGTTAAAACTATGTTCTATATTGTGTATTTTCCTGTTTTTCCAAGCAAAGTTTCAACCACCAGAGTGTTTACTCTCATGCACTTTGGAACATCAGTGGATTATTAAGATTCTAAGATACTGTCAGAAATAGATGACTGGTCAACATCAGAATGTTAATTGAGCCTCTCTTGAGGCTTTGGTGCTGATAATATACTTAGATCCCAACCTCCATGGACTGCCGGTTAACACGAAAAGAGATCACTTGTAAGACATTGCCCAAGTGCACCACAGTTTGTTGGTCGGTATGGTAAGGCATTTGATTTTTATGGCTATATATTGCTTAACCTTCTGAAATATAATTTTAATACACTCGCCGTATAAAATCTAAACGCGTTTGAGTATTTCAAGAAACCAGCGAGTGAAGACGGATCCAAAATGTGACCCAATGCCGATTTAGAATTAGTTCACTGACGCGCAGATCAACATACATCAACTCATCTAAATTAAATTAATTTAAATATTCACTTTTTTTTGCATTCTTCAAGAAGGTGGAAATTTTGAACATTTAATTTAATTCTTAGAAGCGTGTTGTTTTTCCATATGTTCAATTTTGTACCAAAGAGTTTATTTGTTTGTTTTGTATTACTTTCATTTTTTCTATAGAAGTTTCAAAATCTTAATGAGTAATTTTTGAACCATTTGCAACCTAAAAATCAGTATTTTTACCGATCAAACGATGATAATTGACCTTTTATAAATTAAGTAGATGTGTTTAAAAATCATTAGTTGAGGTATTTTTTCTGTAAGCACCATATCTGTCAGCATTTATACAACCAAGAAAATCTTACTTAAACTTTAGACAACAACTTTAGACACTCGTCAAAGTTTATTTTCGAATAATTTTCTATTTTGTTTATTAAGGTTATAATGTAAGAAAATGTGGAGTTCTACTTGGTCTTGTCATTGATATAAACAAATTTACAGCAGAAACGATATTTTATATGATGATGGGCTTTATGTGCTAGGTTGATGTCCTAAGTACCGCCCCTTGTGTGAAATTGGAAGAACGATATTATTTAACTAAACTGAAAGTAGAATCTTTCCATAAAGCGCTCTCATCGCGACACACAAGAATGACACAACTTCGCAGAAAACAAACACTTTGAGCCCTGGAGATGATCTCAATAAAGATCGAAACGTTGACACGATATATAAAATGTTTTCTAAAATCTACGTCACACCAGACCGCATCTCACGATCTCCAAATAATCTTTTTATAAAGAGTTAATTTTTTTTGGCTTAAATTGTATTATTTTCTTTTCAGTCCGAGACTCTTATAGTGTGAGGTGTTTCTGAAGGTTTTGAGTGGAAACGACAGGATCAGAGTTGCTTGAGACGATCGCTGTATCCTCTACAATGGTCAGGGTGGTGGTTCGAGGATGGGATAGGATGTCAGCTGAGTACATAGTATTGGGTAGGCATTTAGAGATTATGAAGAAAAATCAAGTTACGAAACTTTCCTCATAAAAAACTACCACGGACACTCAATAATACAAACTTGAAATTACTGAAAAAGATAGAAAAACGGACGAGCTTAAAAATATACAAAATCAGCATATTTACCATTAAAAAACTCATGAGTACACAAACAAACAGAGCTAACACATTACTTAACCTTTTGAGACATCACAAAATTAAAAAGAAGGTTCATGATCACAGATCGGAGAGTGAAGGTTGTGGGGGTGGATTTTTTAAA